GCCGACACGCGTGCGCGCCCGCGCACGCCACGCTTCCGGCGCCGCCACCGCAGCACGCACTCGCTCACGCTTACTTACCCGTTCCCCACCGCTTGGCGGCGCGCGCTCAGAAATTGTTCCCGGCGTCAAAGAGTTGTGACGTTTGCGTTTCGTATTTGTCAAAACGAGTATACATAGGTACTTAAAACCAAACATATTGCTTTAGAATAATACGCAAAGCCATCAACACTTGATAGATTTTTCTGGATGATACTTCAGTGTCATAGAGATGCCTTGTAGTGCATATCTACGAGTGAATGGAGACATTTCTTACTAATGTTTAGTATCTCAATATCTGAGGTAGTATAGTGCACAATATTTGCAAATAATTAATAAGAATTAAATCGGAGAAAAGTCGCGATTGCATGTCCCGAGCCAATTACGTCTTACAGTGTTACGTGGGACCTCAACAACTAGCTATTTACCATTTACTTTTGTTATTCAGAATGATTTTGAAATGAGGTTACAAAATATAAATCCTATTTTCCGACAGTTCAGTTCGTCTAGTCGCTCGAAAATAGGAACTTCAGACCGAATGATAACAATTTTATAGCGAGCTCGTCGGCACCCACGTGAAATTATCATTCTTAATAATAATCGATAAACCGAAAGAAAAGAAATGAATACATATGAAAGAGAGAAACAACCCTACGAATTTACTACCTCTATTAAGAGTGTTTGCCCTAGGTTCTGGGCTATTGTTTTGGAACGCACTGCAATCAGTTTTCTTCGTCCTTATCTCATTTATTATGTCAACATTATGCGTTGTTATTTGTTATATCTCTGAGTAAAAGTTCCGTTTATCTTCAGCATTGTTGTTCGGTCGTTCTCTGCGTTTTATAGTATATCTAATACATTGTGTAATATATTATACATTTGCATGTTTCTGCTCGTCATTGCAAATTCGTAGCTTGTGTTTTTAAAACGATCCCAATTGCGAATAACTGCCAATATTTTCCATGCGCGTTTTCTCCTAATAATTCGGTGCTCTTTACCGGGAGTATGCCCTTGCGAGCGCCGCAAGGGGAGTCGATGAGGAAATTGGCGTCAATGGGGAAACACGGCGCGGGGGCGTGTCGAACCCCGGCGCGGCGGCGCCACGTGGTCCGCGCGCAGAGGTGACTCGTGCCCGCCCGCCCGCCGACGCGCGTGGGTTCCGGAAGAGCTCGGCGTTTCCTATGCGTCACCTTCCTCCTGACTGTGCGGCGCTCGGAAGCGTCTCTGCCGGCGATGGAATTTAATTGAATTGAATTTGTCTTCTTTTACGTGGCGAGACTCAGGCCATGAGGTCTGCTCTTCCGTCTGACCACGCAAATTTCGCTACGCTCCTTTCACCAACTAGTAGAGGAAGGAGGTATTTGTTGGGCAAGAAACAGGCGATTTGAAATCCCAGAGGCGTCATTTAGGCTTCAGAATCTTTTACATGCGAGTAAATCTACTAACATGGGACAGCCGGCTTTACTTCCCCTCCAAAGGAAGGCGTACCAAGGATTTTTTCGCCCTTAAAAATCGGGTTTGAACCCGCGAACTTGGGTACAACTGTCCGATACGCTGACCGTTACACGACCGCCGCCGCGCGCAAAGGACGCGCCCACCCACGACTGCCCTGCATCTGCTCGGACTCCGAACCCTGGAGAGGGATTTTTGGGAGGGTGGAAGGGCTACGATACCCCGCATCCCTGCGACTCCCGGAATAGGGATTTTGATAACTCTCGCAGTATAAATTTCTAGTAGCGGTAAATGCTGTGGTGTTTATTCAAGGAAAAAAAGTGTGGGTTGAATGACCGCGCATATCTGACGCCATCGCTATCCTCGAGATTTCCCCCACGACGTTCCCATAATTCTCCGTTCTTCGGGAGACGTACTACAATATGTAATACTATTTAGTTATTTGTCTTACAATCTTTTATAGCTTGTGCATCTATCTTCGTCAGGACTTTTATATCAGTCCGCTTGCTTAAGAGAGTAATCTAGTTTATTGAATGAAATGAATAATTATATTTTATCTCTGTCAATGTACTTCAGTGTCGGATCTAGATGTACATACTTCCTATATAAGCGTTTGTTGTTATTTGCGCCATCTGATTTTTCTCACCGAAAAATACAGTTGGAGTATACCAGATCCATGATACTGTGGCAAGTTTCCTTGTTACAGCATCATGGATCTGATATACTCAAACTGCTCTTTTTTCCGCTTTCAATTTTTCGACAGCTTCACTTAAGTTTTTTTAGTTTGTCTATCGTGCTTGAAATTATGTTGTGCATGTCTAGTACCCACATTCCAAACCTGATTTTGCTCTTAAAGAGTCTTTTAAATGTCTATTTATAAATAAATCTAATCAAATTAAGTGAGTTTAGGCTTGTTATATATATATATATCTATATATATCTATATATCTATATATATATATATATATATATATATATAATTAATACTAATAGTAACAACAATAGAACATCTTTGTGCTTGTACACACACAATACCGAATGTCATCAGCACTCATCTTCCTAATATGTTGCCCGTTTTTCGTAGACAAGGCCGAATAAACCCGAGCATTGGTCCCCTTCGAAAACCAAATGTGTGGAGAAGTTGCCCTAACTTCGCTTTCAGTGGGTTGCCGCGCTTCGCCCTCGCCCTCGCCCTCGCCCTCGCCCTCGCCCTCGCCAGGGTGTCAGCCTGCCCAGCCATCGCCGCGGCTGTCAGTGCCTCCGCCTCGCGGCGCGGCGCTTCCGAGTTGCAGCGGGTCAGTGGACCTGCTTTGTTTACGTTGGCCCGCGCGCCTGTCAGACTGAGCGCCCGACCCGCGCTCTAGGTTCCCCTGAAGCCCGTTCTCAGCTCTCCACGTTCCCCGCCCATCAATCGAGGAGCCTGGAACCACACGCTCCACGCCTAAGTCTTAAGTAAAAGGTCTAAGTAGAAAACTGTCACTGAAATAATGTTGTTAAGTTGATTAGTGAGAGGAAAATGAACGCATTGTTTTTCTTATTCTTCCTTTCACAGTTTACTTCAGAAGGGCTGTTTCCGGTTCACCTCATCTACTTCCGAACGGTCGCAAAGTATAGGCTACTTCTCGAAATTATCTTCCATTCGGAGTAGGTGTGGTGTCGAACACTGAACTTGTCTATCGTTGATAATATTGGGAAGATATTTAAATATTCTCGAATATTTGCATTCCAGATATAGTTTAGAAGGCGGCAACTTTTATTTCTTCTTCAACATGGCATTTCCAAAGATTTTATGAACTTCACATTTTCCTGGTCATTACCAATGAATTGCCTCCATACATCAAATGCTATCATAACTTTATATTAACATTCCATGAAATATACTCTTTCAGAGGAGTGTTGAACAAAGCGAAATACTTGATGTATTATCGTAACGATTTAGAATCATTTCATGACTAACGATGCGCTGTTGTTTTCACGGTGAAATATTTCCTTTCGAACGGACATGCGTCATAATGACCGAAACATGGTTAAATAATGTGGATATTGTAGTAACCTAAAGTCGTTTCTAAAGCAGATTTTTGTTTTCGCTAATAATATGTTTAATCAATGAAATCCTACGAACTGTTTTGGTTAGTATGATTCTTATTACGATAATGTTTTGGTTAGTATGATTCTTATTACGATAGTGCCTCAAATACAATTATTTTCGATAGAACAATTTCTATTTCAATGTATTCTTTCGCTTGCCCTCCCCCAGTACCATTAGTATCAGAAGTGTTTCGACATCCTTGTGTATATAATAATGGTGGTTGCTTTAGAATTTTTTGTGTCGAAGGACGCAGCAGGTCAGGATTTCGCCCCCGGTCGCCAAAGTACTCGCAACAAATCACTGTCGGGACTGGCGCATCAAATACGAAATAATGACGAAAAATAACGAGGTAAAGCGTCCTTTGTGAACTCTCGTATGGTGATAACTGTTACGTAACACGTACATAATTTTTACTGCCCTTAAGGGTAATGAGATTTTTGCTATGAAACCCCTGCTCCGAACCATCTTCTTCTAACGGTGTTCCGAACAATAGATATTTTGATTTAAATTTATTTAGTAAAAAAACAGTAAAAACTAAATGTGACGAATGGGGGAGAAGATAATCTATGCAGGTTTTCCTGAGTTTCAGAATCCCTTCCCATCATTTTAATTATAAATAGTTGAAAGATGAGTAAAAGTTAAAGATAAAGAAGTGAATAAACAAATAAATAAAAATAAAATTAAAAAAAGCACGAGGTTAGCAACATTTGAAAAATAAGAAATTTTCGTTGCCGAGTTATAGAAAACTTATACTTAGAGAAATA